CCTCCTTTCCAGCATGTCAGCATTAGATTTGTATGTTTTCAGTTACAGATGAATTCCAATTTTTTTCAGATAGTTGGGTTGTGATAATTGATGGACTAGAGAGAGAGAGAGAGAGAGAGAGAGATCATACAAATGATAAAGAAATACATGTTTAAAATAGAAAAAACAAACACTCAACATATTACCTGAATGTGGACCCAATTTGAATGGTAAACTGCCATTCTAATCAGCTGGAATTCCAACCATAATTAGCTTCATTAAAAAGACATGGAAATAGAAATACATCAATATATACATAGTAATACATACATATAATGTGTATGTTTTGCAGTACAATGATGATATGCTCATTCTTTATGCTCTTTTGGTTCCTCTAAATATGTTTTCAAAATCATTTGGAAGGACTATATTTGAACAAACTGAGCCGCCGCCTTGACAATATTTGTCCAATTAAACTACTATTTTATTCAGTTGAACAGATTTGGCCTAACTGAAATTAGAAAATGAGATATATGTATAGATGCTAATACTGCTTGAAACTAAGGATTCCAGATTGTATTGTGACAAAGTCTCTTTCACTGGGTCTTCGTAGGTACCGTATTGCACAGTGTTAGTGGCTTGGGATTTGCAAATAATATAAATACATGGTTGTTATTCATTTGCTAAATTTAACTGAAAAACTAAGATTCCAAATATGATATGTGCCTAAGTTTGCAAAACTATGAATTTGTCTCTACAGTGGTATTGTATAATTATGGAACATACCTTCCTGGTAGCACAAACTAAAATACTATGCTTTGCAATTATGAAACATAGTTAATTAGTTCCATTATATGTCAATTAGCATAAATCTAAAAATATTGCCCTTGAGTGTTGATAGTTCTTATAAAGACCTTTTGGGGTATAACAAAGAGAACTGTTCATATATTCATAACACTTTGAGTGTGTATGTGTGTTTTTTTAATGTTTTAATTACATAGGCACCTAACTATGCTATTAATTGAACTATAGTTTTAAAAATTGTTACACAGAAACAATACTGTACTGCCATTGGTACTTATAATAGACTGCTACATAGCCATTGGTATTTAGATAGATAGCTACATAGACAGACAGAAGCCTATGCTGCCCTATGGTAAACAGCTTCTGAAGGTTCCATAATGAAGCCACAATGGTCAGATGTAGGTCAGGTGAGTTATTGCAGGAAAGCCTCAGATAAGATCAGCAAGATCGTTGGCTTTCTAACAGCCAACATTGTGGTTATGTCAAGCATCATTTAGGGTAGCCATTTGGGTGATATTGTAACGGTGCACCCTGTACCCTGGCTGGGTACCTCCGCTGAAGGACCATTTCCTTGCTGGCGTGACTGGGGCACTGGAACTGCTCTTTCCTGGAGCCGAATGGGGAATTAGCTCTAGTCCTTACAAGGACTTTCCTAGTTTAATCCCCTGCAAGCTGGAACAGCAGACACAGGAGTAAATCTTCTTTCCCTCCAATAACAGGACGACACACAGTTTTGGAGTGTAAGCTGGAATAGCATTTTAATGGAGGCATATTGGCCTTTTATGCAAGTTTCCCAACAAGGGCGACATCCAGGTAGACCTTATTGGGCACATGGATACAAAGTGAACAAACCAATAAAAACAGAGTCATACAGTGAGACACTCCCATACACAAACAATAGAATCCGTTCCTGTGCTTGGGAGATAATTGAATCAGGAACTGTACTAATCTAACCTAATTATCTCCAAGCACAGAAAAAACATACAATTTTATGAAACCCCAAAAAGTACCTTAAAAATATACAATCACTTCCCCTGATAGCCCCGATCTGGGTAAACAACAGGGGTTCAGAAATTTCCTGGAAGTCATAGTTTTGACCGACCACAAGCATGGCTCCATGTCAAAAACAGTTCTAGGGAAATCAGTGCTAACAGTCGGTCAAGTTTGATAGTCTTTTACAGGTTTCCCTGCAGGGTCCATAGTCTGTGGGCAGGAGGCTGATAAGTAGGCTCCTCCAGGAGCTCGTGGCAAACTCACTTGGAGAGGGGAGTTTGTTACAGATATATTCTGCATATCATTTGTCACTAAGGAGTCACTAAACTACCTCTGAGTACTCCCCTATCTTGTTTACATAAATGTGTCCACGTAGAAACATAAAAAGTTAAGAATAGTAATTACAGTTCCATTCTCTTGTATTTGCAGATAACTTATATAACTTATTAATGTAACTGCTGTATTTGTAAAAGACATCACATATCATCACTACAGTAACATTCCATAGTTATGTTTACCATTCATAGCTTTGGTGATGGTTAAAACATGGTTACTTATAAATCAAAGTTCACAGTATGAATCATACATTGAGTCCACATCAATTAATTAAAGGGACACTATAGTCACCAAAATAACTTTAGCTTAATTATAAATCATAGATTATGCCTCTGATGTTTCACTGCTCAATTCTCTGCCATTTGGGAGTTAAATCACCATTGTTTCTGTTTACTGGCTGTGACTAACATAGCCTGCATTGAAATAAGATGGTTTAATTTTCAGATGTAACTTACTCTTTTACTCTAGTTTTTATCTCCTGGTCTGTAAATTAAACTTAAATTACATACAGGAGTTTCCTGCAGGATCTAGCAAACTATGAAAATAGCACAAGATAAGAAATTCTAAATTAGACAGAATGTGCACTAAAGGAAGTGTAAATATTGGATGACTCTTTACAAGAAGTGTTTAGGAAGGTTGCGTAAGTCACATGCAGAGAGGTGTGGCTAGGGCTGCATAAACAAAATGATTTAAGTCCAAAATAGCAGAGAATTGAGCAGTGAGACTGAATGGGCATGATTTATACACCAAAACTGCTTCATTAAGCTAAAGTTGTTTTGGTGACTATAATTATCCTTTAATGAAAGTCATGAACAACTACTGTGCATATAGGCAATATTCAAATGTTTAGCTGGGAAACATTACACAGCACTTTCACAATCAAGTTCTTCTGTTGTTGCATACAAAATAAAATTAAGGTATTAAAGTTATACTTATTAGTAAAAGTTTTAAAATATATTTTAGCATTATTTTTATGATAATCTTTTCATAATATATACACTTATTCTCTTACAAATGCAATTTAGAAGCCTATTTATTTATTCATTATATTGCTGTATATTTCCAAGTTTTAATATGTTATTACATTTGTCATGATTACTGTGTGTTCGTTAAATCGTTTGAGCACATTTGGAATATTACAGTTAATAAAATTATGTCCTATAAATCCCAGGAGCAAAGGGATCAGAAATTCTTCTATTTTCCATAATACCAAAAAAAATCCAGGATGTGGATTACATGTTATCCATTAAATTAGTTAGGTTTTATAATCCCATTTCTTTTTTTCTAACATAAAAAAATCTGCAAAAACTAATTAGATGATTCAATGCCTTCTCATTCTTTATGCAAAGCCAGGTAAAGAAATGACTTTCATTACCTTGTTCATAGCGAAATTTTTCTTCCCATTGACAGTATTTTAAATATAATATAATTTATTTTTTATCTTCATGTTTAAAATTCTAATTTTTTAATATATAGGAATTTAGAAATGCTCTCTCTATGTGTAATCATTTCAGTGAAGATAAAGAGAATGTCAATTTCCTTTGACCCGTCAGTTGATTGTTTCTGTCTTTAAACACACAAATCCATTTCCTAAATATTAGGCTCACTAAGATTAAAAAGTGTTATTTTGTAAAACTTCTCCACTTACAAAAGTCTTACAGTGCTTAAACTAGGCATTAATAATTCAGATCATTGGTTCCATGGCAGCCAACATAGAAAAAGTACTGTTACAAGCAGCTGAAACTGCAGCCTCTGTAACTATTAATTGAATAGTATGGCAGTGCAATTTTATGCTAGACGGGCTTTATGTTGATTAAAAAAACTAAATAGGTAATTTACTTTCTGTTTAAAAGACGAGAAACATAGGAAATCTGAAAGAGGACGATCACAACACATTAATGACTAAGACACATTTTTAGCATTGTGTATATGGGGATGGTGAAGTAAGAGGTGTTCAATACCCTAAACAATTTCTTATACAAAAGGTAATGTTAATTAGTACATTCCTTCATTTGAATATCAAAGAAAAAAACAGACAGGCGAAGAGCATACAGATAGACGGCATGTTCGACCTGCCCGCACCTCAGTAAAGTTTCAGAATGAGCAGGATAAAAGCACCTTCATGCAGGCAAGCAGAGAAAGGACCCCACATCATTTTGAAGAGATGGAACTCATCTTCTTTGCTGACCTCTCATGTTCCACACCATAGTGGAGGAAATCACTATGACCCTTGATGGCGACATTATCATCTCATGCCCTGAGATACAGATGGGGCTATCCACGCTCTCTTATTTTACACCACAACGCCACAGAACACAGATGCAGTCCTATCCACTTTGGGACTTCGTCAGACATCATGTCTACTCCCACTGTTTGGGATCGAGCCAACATCGTCCCATTTACCCCAACAGTTGGCAGCGCAACAAGTGTGGCAGTCACCTGAGTTTAGCTGCCCATGAGAGAACGTCCAGCTATTTATTGGTTGCTTCTGTTATTTGTACTTTTGTAATGTCACCTTCATTTTTTATCTTTTTAATTGTCTTTATGCTATGATTTCACGACTTATATCGGTTGAACTGGGTACAACCCGGTTAAGCTAGTAGCTCCAAAGTTAACATTTAACCCATTTGCTGTCAATAGTGTAACTCCTCCTCCAGTTGCACGAACCCTCTCAGCCAATGGATCGACATTAGGTTTCTGAAGATCTGCAGCAGCCAGAGATCATAAACTTGACTACAGAGGAGACCCAATATCCAGCTGGACCTGATAAGAGGGCAAACCATTGTAAAATGTATTTTTACAATGATTACCTCACGTGCATTATTTAAAGAGACAGCTTTTTTATGTTTAATGGTTACCCCAATCATCAAAACTACTACATTCCACTGGCAACATGTCCCAGTAATGAAACGTGATTGAACAAGATACATTCCCTTTTGCTCCACCTTTTTTCAGTTCAGAGAAAAAACTATCCATACAAATTAAAAATTGTGTCCATCTACTTCTTTGAAGATTGATTGACAATGAAACATTTTCCATAGAAGCCTGCAAACTCTATATACTACATATCCTTGGTAAAGTGTACTTGCAGCGTGTGGGCATTATTCATATACACAACCAATATTATTACATTCTGATAGCATTTTAAGAACTTACATTACTAAAAGAACCACTATATTCCTTACAAACACATATTGGTAGGTTCTCTGATAGCTTCTATTTACCTATTATGTCACTCTGACTTTACGGGACAAACACCTAATTTCTGATTAGTGATGTCCCGAACGGTTCGCTGAACGGTTCGCTGTGGACTCCAGTCAGCAGACACATTCCAGCCAATCAGCAGCAGACCCTCCCTCCCAGACCCTCCCACCTCCTGGAAAGCTCACTAAGAATGCAGCTTCAAAATGGATGCTGTCCAGGAGGTGCGAGGGTCTGGGAGGGAGGGTCTGCTGCTGATTGGCTGGAATGTGTCTGGTGACTGGAGTCCGTGGCGAACTGTTCGCGAACCGTTCGGTGAACCGTTCGGGACATCACTATTTCTGATTCAATGCTAATGTTTGAAACCTGCATAAAATATGTAAAATAAAAAATACAATTTAATTTCAGAAATCTTTACCCCTTCCCAACATTTATGTAAAGGAGCAATGAATACATGAAACTGTGCAAATTGAATTTAATTTTGTATTTCCCTGAACAGCTATCTATGCATAAAATAGCTGTTCTAATCTGCATTTATGTGCTTTTTTATGAACCCCATATTTAAAATGGATTGTATGCTTTCTTAAACAAAATGAAATTTTTAGTGAGGTATAAATGTAATCAATCATTCTTATCTTATTCTTTGTATAACATTCATTTGCAACAATATAGTCTGGAAGATTTAATCAAATATTTAATTAGGAATATCAGAAAATATCTTTGTACAGTGTAAAAAAATATGTAAGACACATATGAATACACAAGTTCATTTCATCTATGCTCTTACAGCAAAACAATTACCATAAACTACTATCTTCCGGTACTGAGAGCATTTCTTAAGTGACTACATGACAAGTAGGGTCACTTAAATAGACAGGTTACTCGAATAGACAGATATTATCTGTCCTTTAATCCATGGGAACTCAAAAATAAATTCATACTATTCCATCTATGATGCCTTTGTTTGTATTTAAAAGGATTTTATGAAAAAAGCAACCTTTTTAATCAGTTCCATATGTGGTATTAATTGAATGTTTATAGACATACTATAATTTTTACTTGATGATTTCCCTTGAGTTATATGCAGAGGATATCAAACAGATATATTTTAATACTTTTTAATTTTGTCTTTTATACATAATCTGTGACAGTAGTCACAGTCACTGAGAATGGAAGACAGAAAATATATGTAGGTCCCCATCTTCCTCTTGTGTTTTGGTCAACCTGTACCCAGTATTAGTGGAGGGTATGTTTAATGTATTGCTTGTCTGTGCCTCTACCCCTCACCCTTTTTCCTGTCCCATTGTTTCTCCAGCAGGGCGTTGTCCTAGGGACACTGCCAGACCAGTTTAAACTTGCTGTTTTGTCCCTCCTCAATCTCCCATCAGGCCTTGCTATTGTCTGACCCCACCCTTCCTTGTACTATAGTGCATCATGCACACTATTGTATGTAAATGAGACTTTTGGGGGCTTAAAATGTGTGTGCTATGTCTAGTAAAGGAGTTGCTGTGTTAACCTTCACTATGTGTCATCTGGTGTTTGGGGAAAGGGATATAATCTGTTGATGGAAAGGGTGTCCAGCGCTACATACACAGTAGCCTGGTCCAGGGTGGAAAAGGCCCTCAGTGATCCCAGACAAAGCTTGGTGACTAGATATGAAGTGCTCCAAGGTCCCTGATAAGTAAGAGGTAGCAGACTTGGTGGAGGTACTCAGTTGGAGTACTGGAGCTCCGTTACCTTTAATGTGACAAACCACCTGGTACCCCGATTGGGTACCTCCATCTATCACTGCTTCCTAGTACTTGCGAGTACCATAATGCCTGCACTGGAACACCATAACCACCGTAAACCCCACAAACCGCCGCAGCTTGGTTGGGGTCTCGCAGCCCTCCACCCACCCTGAACCCAAGACCAGGATCCAGCTTCCATTGGGTAGACCTCTCCAGTTACATCCTCTGATGGCCCTGATCTGGGTGAACAACATATCCAAAAATCACCCATATCAGTTCAGGGATTCAGGAATTTCTGACTTATTTTTGACTGACTGTGCACATGGTCCCATGCCCAAAACAGTTCCAGAGAATTAGTGCTAACGGTCGGTCTCTCTGTCTGGAGTACAAAAGTATATACTTCACATGAACAGAGACTTTTAAAGTGCATTGGGCAAGGTATATTGCAAGGCCCATAGTCCTGAGGCAAGAGGCTGGCCAGCAGGCCCCTCCAAGAACCAGTGATGAGGTTACTTTTGTCACATAATCCATTCACTACTTGTATTGTACTATATGAGTCGTGCTCCATTACTTTTTGTAGATGTGATAGATTTCTAATTTGAATTGGTGAGAAAGGAGATATGTATTGGTGAGAAATACAGAATGTAGTCTATTCTCCACAAAGAATGCAAACAGTTAACAAAAAACTATACATTTTCTAAAATAAAGATGACGAAAAGTTAATTTTTGATTGTCACTCAAATCTATTTTTTCTCATTAATTACAACATGACTATAACAGAAATAAAAAAACAGTAACAAGCTCAAAAGCAACATGTTTTTCAAAAGTTTTTCAAAAAAGGATTAATAACAACCCAAAAATCATAATTCTAACTCTGCTTTCTACTCTGTACTGAGGTATGTGCATGCCTAATGACCCCCCCCATTTTTACATTTTCATAACTAATCCAAAGAAAATTAGTAATAATGAGAAATATCATTATTTTAATTTGTTCCATAAACATAAAATAGATATAATACAATCTCCATGCTCTATTTATGGTTTGTAGTGTGTACATATGTCCTAGTTGTTTCCAATTTTCACTTATAAATTTTGAATATTTCGAATGAAATTATTGCAATTTGTAGTTAAGAAAGTGCGGTAAGTATTCTGTTATTGAGTGGTTCTCGTATAATATAGACATCTAAATTTTCATCCAGTGTTACCTAAATGAGGCTTATAATTCACATTTTTCTAAGACAGTTAGTGACAAATATTATAAATAACAGTACAGATCAACTTTATACTGCATTATTAAAAAAAATCCAGTGTGATGCGTATTCAAGAGTAAAAGGACAAATAAAAAGACATTATCAAGCGTATATATTTTAAAGTTAATGGATTGTAGTTAGTTTGATTGAAATAACTCAATATGGATGAGTAACTCATCATTTGTGTCTATCATTTAATGTGAAATATTTTTACTGTAATATGTCTATCCAAGTTTGTGGTAAGCTACACATATTAAAAATCATTTTGTTAAGCATGAATTCCATATCTTCATATCAGCACTTCATCAATTTAATGTGCTCTGTTTTTTTCAAGAATTGTCTACTGTGCTATGGAAAAGAAATTAATTTTGCTAGTAAATCCATCTATTGTTATCTGGATATGTGAATGCATTTATTTTTTGCAGGAAATGTATATGAGTCACTATACCATGATTCACCACTAAATATTTTAGTAATCTATTCCCCTCACACCACTTTTGTTATGAAAGTAAATATTTTTGAGGGAAAATTGTTTAACCCCTGATCGTAAGACAGTGTCCAGACACTCCTTGCCCAATAACACTTCAATGAGTTGCAGTTGGGTGGGAGTGTTGCTTTAGTAAAATGGCTCTTAACATGACTAATGGCTACTAACATAAGCTCTAGACAGGTTCAAAGTACTTAAAAGAAAAACAAAAACTTTAATAAACAATGATTTTTGTATTTTATGAGCAAAGCTGATTTTAAAAGTAACATCTGAGATATTTATTACGAAAAAAAATATTTGCATTCAGGGTTGTACTTTCTTGATTAGATATTTAAAAGATCCTGCATAGATTTGGATGGCATAAAAATTACACTTTAGACTTAAGTGATGAAGACTATTTTTTTTTTTTTACATTTTATGTCTTTTAAGAAGGAATGAAAGAAAGGTAGGTAGGAGAAAGAAGATAAAAAAGTTAAGTAGAACAGAAACAGTCCATGTTAAGAAGGTTGGAAAAGGAAGAATGGCGGGCCTTGTGCAAATCAACTGCAGAAGAGGAAATTGCTTTAAAATCACAACTTAAGTGATGAAGACTATTAGTTTTGTTTTACATTTTATGTCTTTTAAGAAGGAATGAAAGGAAGGTAGGAGAAAGAAGATTAAAGAAGTTAAAAGTAGAACAGAAACAGTCCATGTTAAGAAGGTGGGAAAAGGAAAAATGGCGGGCCTTGTGCAAATCAACTGCAGAGGAGGAAATTGCTTTAAAATCACAACTTACTATGAGGTAATGGGAGCAGAACACAGCTAGTTAAGAACAGAGCAGTATCCACATCTCTGGGCCTGCGTTACTGAAAGCATAAAACATATGTTTTTTTTTAATCAAATATACAATATAGCTATAAAAAAGAGAGTAGAAGAACTGTTAAAATGTGGTGGACTCCAAATCTTGGCAGACCCCTGCATACATCATGGTTAAGCAAGGAGGATATGTAAAGTAGAACACAAATAAAGAAGAACACACAGAGTGCATGAAATACATCTCTGTGTCTGTGGAATTTACAAACATAATATAGAGTACAGATGAAAAAAATCCTGTTGGTTCTGCTCAGTTAAAGATGCTGAAAAATTGAGAATATTTAAAACTGTTACTAGCTAACTGGGATACTGGAACCTCTAAATGGCAAAAGATTTAAAAATGTATGATTTTGTAAGGGAAGAGAAGGATAAGAATACACTACAGTATATTTAAAAGTACATAAAACATGTGGGCGCTTAAACTGCATTAATCAAATCTAAAGTTTATCTCTTAATATGGCAATTTGTTAAGCTTCCACTGACCTGGAGGAATTCATGATCACCACATGAGAGAGGAAAGATCCTAATAACCTTGTGTATGTTTAAAGGTATTAACAAAAACATAACTGATTTCTGTTATTGACCGATTCTGTAATTATCTAGGTGAAAAAAAATGGTTTAAAAGGTAAAATGTTTAGTATGAAAAAAGAAAATAAAGAATTCACATACAACACAAAACATGTAGTTTGTAAATTGTATTTTTACTTCTCAAAAAATATTTTTGTTAAAAAGTAACATTCTGGGGCGGAGCCTGGCTGTGGAGCTGACCAGACACACTTTCTGTGAGCTCCTGGGCCTGGGCCCGATAGTCGACTGCAAACAGGGGCACAAAGCCTTGGCTCTAACCGCAGCCCACCTCATCTTACTCTACTGAGGCTGGTGAATCGGGGGATACCTTTCAAGCCCAAGTACCCATCAGAATGTCCGAGCAGAGGCTTGGGGCCTACAGCATGTAGGGCATGGGAGAGACGGCAGCTCTCCCAGCCCATCAAGACAAGCAAAACCCATGGTACCCAGCTACCCCCCACCCCCCACAGAACCGATGGGGGTTATCCCAGTCCAGCTAGCTCAGATCCCCACACCATGGTCTCTGAGGACTGGCACGAACCTTAGCCAACTACAATGCCTGCAGACGGGTAGCCACTATAACATGGCGGATGCACAGCCCGGCGAAGTACACGTGTCTCTAGAGAACCGCTTGGGCACTACCGAGCCCCTGTGTTCCCGCTGGAAAAAACTGCTTAACAATTTCTGGGCACGGATTGAGGCCAGACACAAACGCAACAGCTAAAGAGCTGGAGCACCACAAGTACACAGAGAGAGACGACGGCCGGAAAGGGAGTGGGAAACCCTCGGGCACTACCTCGATGAAGCAACCCACCATTCTCCGGGCCGAAGGACACTAAGGGGAAAACCCCAGTGCATCACCCACGCAGGCGGAGGCCTGCCCGCCGCGGGAGGCGCAACACCATCCAAGCCCCCAGACCTGTCCCGGTGGGAAAGGACCCGGTCCCCAGAGGCTTCCGAGTCCGTGGGAACAAGATGTCAGCCTTGTCACAGGCCCAGAGCTGGAGGGAGGAACTGATCTGCCCCTGGCCATCAGCCGACACCTTAACCTACCCGGAGCCACCGATGCAGCTCCCCTTGGAGGAATAGGATAACCTGCTGACACGCGGGCTGTCCATTCACCACTCATGAACGGACACTATTCAGAGGCACATAGGCGCTGACACATAGGCTCTGAAACCCCAAACTGATGCAGACCTCCTTTGAAAAAGTATATGGTCCAATACATAATGTATGCTCCTATGATAAGCTCCCAACCAAACACCAGATTTACACAACATTTCTACTTACAAATACTCCACTTAGCATCACAACACCCAACCTGACACTTATACTTGCATTGTACCCTGCTATATGGCAGTCCCTCCAATCATTGTCTAAACCACAGTTGGTTAATTTCTGTTTGTTGCCTCAGTAAATTGAGATAATGCCTATTTACACAATAACCACGGAGGTACGTCTATCATTAGAAATGCAAGTTATAGACTCACTCATCCAAATAATCTCACAAGCATGTCCTCTAACTCTTGTAACCATACTTGTTAATGTCGAGACATGTCAGACAGTTAAAGCCTATTTTTTGGTATACAAACGAGCACAGCTCCACTAGACTGTTAGCAGTCATGTTGCAATAACGCTGACCTAGCATTAGAAGTTGCCTATCTGCTGTCAAGCTAATTGTGTATAATGGCCGTATGTGCCTGGCTAAACTGAGTAGGCAAAGTTCTTTAAAACATAAAATGAAGCAGATACTCATGTGAGAAAATATTGATGTTATTAACTACTGTACTCATTTGTTTATCCACGGATATATTTCTCCTTTTCTTCCTTTCTGTAATGTTCACACAATGCTTCAATAAAATAAAGATTGACAAAAAGTAACATTCTAAGAGTATTATAAATGCAAAAAATTGCAAAAAATACTAAATATGAAAATAATAATTTAATAATTTTTAACCTGTTTTCAAAAAAGTAATGGTAAAGTCACATAATAACAATAAGCCCATAAGTCCAGGTAATATATGAAGAGTATCCCTATTCAAGAAAAATGGAGGAGAATAGTGGCCAGGTCAAAATATTAGCACATAAGTCCAGGTAAATATATGAAGAGTATCCCTATTCAAGAAAAATGGAGGAGAATAGTGGCCAAAACTCCTCCATCCCTCCACCATCCAAGTTAAATATAGTCTTGCATACAGAGTACATGGAAGGAATACCACTCTGTATTCTATTTTATTATAGGCATCATCCAAAAATCATATGTAAGACATAAGGCTCCCAATATTAAAAGAATTAGGAAAATGTATACTCTTTATTTTGCTGCTGCTTCAACCCAGTCCAAATTAAACACATACGCTAATTTCATTTGGCAGAGCATCAGAGTCAAGTTATCAGAAGAATGAAGAATGGTCCAGTTGCCAGTACAATTTGCATGGACCTGGTATGTTTTGGGGCTTTATCAGGGGAAACACCATATGAACAATATGGACAGTTACAAGGACATAGGCAATAACAAGTGTAAAGTGGTCTCCAGATAAATTTGTTTCTCCCCAAATCTCACATATTTGAAAGCAACTCCAAACACAACAGTCAACTTCTCCATCACTGAATTTTGAACAATTTGAAGAATTTGTCAAATTCGGTTGGTGTTGGGAGTTAGATGGCTGGTAGACATGTAGTGCTATCCACTGCAAAAAGTTTATATAGTTTGCTGCACTGAGAAAAGCATTAGCGAATAGGGCAGGTAATGATGTTTTCCATTTATGGATATGCCTAATCAAGAGAGAATGGTCTAGAAACATTCTAATATAACTGTAATGCAGCTTTAAAGAGTAATTGGCTTGAGAGGGGTTCAAATATAATAGAATCTAGTTGATTAGTCAATGTAATGACTTTAACAGTGTAGCAGAGTCGAGTAAGGCTATAAGGGTCTCAGCAATCTCCAATACAAGACAGGGTGCCACTATGCTTAGACTGATAAAGCTGATCTGTTATTATGGAAGTATGGATTAAAAAAAGGATGTAATTATGCTAATTGTTTATACACTATTGCAGAGTATGGTAAGATACCCGGGCAGTTGTGTATACATAAGTGCCTGTGTGAAGGTGTTATTATAATTTTAGCTGGCCAAAAAAGCTTTTAAAAATATTTGCCAAATAATACAGTTACAGATAAGAAAACAGTGTCATAGGCATTTCCCCCACCTACTCTACAATCGTTTTACCTTTATATTATGCTATACAATCTTTACATGTTTCTCCATGTATTGTTCATGTATTTATAAAAGACTTGTATCTGTTATTATAGAAGTAGAAAATTCATGGAAAGTATCTATCTGTCTGTCTGTCTGTCTGTCTTTCCTTCCTTCTGTCAGCCTGCCTGCGTGTCCATCTATCTATTGATCAATCTCTCTGTCTGTCTATAAAGTCATAGCATACCATTGAATAGTTTATACATTGAATGAATTATGGCACTGGTGGACTCTAGAAACCATAGTCACTTTAATGAGATGAGGCAGTTACAGATCCTACTTTGTCCCTTTAAGCACATACATGTGCTGCAGATGGCAATTTTTGAGCATGCTTGTATCATCATGAGGCAGTAATGTGTTGCAAAGGTAAATGTGTTTTATACTTACCTCTACTCAGCTAATGACAACAAATAAATGTTTAACTGTTGTTTCTTGGGTTAAGATATTAAGGGGCAGAGAACTTTCAGTGAACAGTAAAAATGTGTTACATATATATACACATGTTCATCCATTTTAAAAATAATAAGTGGACTCTATAAATATTTCTGAAGTATTTTTAGCTATTTTTATTTTGATGAGAACAAATGTATAAGCAGATGTGGAAGTCCATGATGCACACCCAGACATCAGGTTTATACAGCAAAGCCCAAGTAAATAGGCAGCTTAAATTCCTTAGATTAACGAAGTACATCCGTCTAGCATCACCATAACTTACTTTTACTCATTTTATCTGCTTCAGAAATAGAGGTGTAGACTTGTGCATGGACAGAAACTTCTATTTGTTTGAATCTGTTTGTCTGAAATATAAAAAAAACAAAAAAACTATTCGGTCGAGTCGAATTTCGTTCATGCTCCTGTTTGGTTCACCCAAATTTAATTTGAATATTTTCAAGTCAAATGAAAGTCAGACGAATTAAGTCTCATTCATTGCCAGTAAAGGGTTAAAAAGGGAAGTGGCAGAGATAAACAGGCCTTCTTTAATGGTTAACCTTAAAATGAAATGCAAAAAACCGCCTGTGGGGGTCAATATGATGACCACATTAGTACAAGGGAAGTTTTATGCTATTGCCTCCAGTGGGCAAATAGTTAACTCTGAATTACAAAAGAAATAAACTTGAATCTTAAACATTGATCATGTAGTAATATCATTACGGCACTGCACTCAATAAGGGGGCATCATCATTAGAGCTCTGCTTTTTACGGTACAACTTACAACAGTGTAGAGCAAGTATCTCAAACTCAGCCCACCCAGATGTTGTTGAACGTCAACTCCAACAATTCTCTGGACATCTTTAACATTCTATTAAATTTAAATAATTCTTGAAGTTTAATACTATCAATAACTGGGGACTCTTATTTCTCATTTACATTGCCCTTCTTCTTTAGCAGTGTCCTCTGAGCGCCACTCTTATTTCCCCCTAATATTACCTTTCTCTCAATTCTCACTTCTAGTGTCCTTCAGCTTTAGCCGTGTTCCCCCAGTGTCACTTTTCACTCATATATCACTTCAATTGCCCCTCTTCTTTAGAAATGTCCTCTCACTGCCACCCTTGTTTCCCCCCAGGCACCACCCTTTTCTCAATTATTACTTCCATTACTCTTCTTATTTCCAGTGTTCTCCTAGTACCACCTTTCTATCTTCCCAGTGCCACTCTCCTCTCAAGTGTCACTCCCATTACTCCTATTCTTTATAAGTATACCACTAGTGCCATTCTCCTCTCAATTCAATTCTCACTTCCATTGTCTATTGTCCATTGTTCTCTCCCTGTTCTCTTACATTCCTTATTTATCTTATTCTTAATTCATTAAATTGAAATACGTTTTACTAGCTAGACAGATTTGCTGGCTTTTGATGCGAGGGGGGCACGATGAGAAGTGTATACACAAGGCATCATTTCCTCATGGGCCACTCTGCAGTGATATAAACTATCTCTCTGTGCTCTGTGCAGCTATGAGTCTTTTTCTCTGTGATGATGCAGTGACCGTGGGGACAACAGCAAGATATATTGTCCAACGTCTATTATTCAGACAATTTCAGTAACTGGCCAGTATTGGGCAGGGGTTGAGTTTGGTAGGGATGGCAAACCATAGGTTATAGATAAGAAATACTTATTATAAAATGAACTGTAATGATAATACACTATTAAGTGTCATTCACCATAATAGCATCATTCAAACAACGCACAACACTCTACATGTCTATTTACACTTTATAAAACATGAGTAGACAAACATATAAGTAGTAACATGAAATGCTGCTAATATGTCTGTAACGGACCGTTTTGCACACAAGGGGTAAAAACCGTTTAGGCGATCGGCCCCCTTTCCAGAGATCCAGGCACAGCTACTGCAGAACACCAAAACTCACGAACTGGATACAAAATAGCACTCCAACTCCCGAACTGGAACCTCCCAAATAGCTGCTAGCAGACGAACAGGAAAAGCAGACAATCAGCTTACACTCCTGGCAATCAGTCTCTAACAGCATACAGTGAATCCCCCCCAAGAACGAGACAAGGCTCCGTGTTGAGGGTCAAGCAGTGGTCTGAGGTGCTGGCACACCCAGCCTGGTTTTTATTACAGTGTTTCAAATACAGGACCACCCACAGGGAGGGATAAAACAACCAATCATATCACAGTTACATCCCACATATTCCCTCCCCTTATCCTGAGAGGAAACTCAATTATACAAACAGTTAAAACATACTTTCTACCCAACTTTCATAACTCCAAAACCATACATCACATTCACATAAAATTACATATTCTCAATCAATCCATTCAGGGGAACAACATATTCAAAAATGGCACAAATCAGACAAGGGGTTCAAAAGTTAGTAAAAAGTCCTTTGTGACTAAATGAAGCATGGCTTTCTGGCCCAAACCAGTTTCAGAGTCTTCTATCCTGGAGATAAGTAATTGAATTATCTCCCAGGACAGACACAAGACTCCATTAAGCACATGGTTGCAAAAAGACACAAAGCACTTTAAAATACATAAAGTCACATTTATACATAAAACACAGACATTTCACATATCCCCAGATAGCTCAGGTCTGAGCGCACATTATTAAGTGAATGGCGCTCGGACCACACAAATACAGTTTAATCACCATGGAGCCAAAGTCTTTACAGTCAGTTTCATACGAATGGGCTCCATGGGATTCCTATCTGGGGTATAACACATTCAAACAAATCTACTGAACCCCAGGCAGAAAAGCACGAATACAGCTTTTCTGCAGGCAAAAATAAAGTCTTTTAAAAGGGGGCCATAGTCCAAAGGCAGCAGGCGAGCAACCAGGCTTCTCCAATGCAATGTGGCGAGATTGGTCTCGTCACATCTCTCCCCTTTTCCAAACAGACTAACAGGGTATCTGACCTCCTGCCGGTCAGTGCCCTTGTTAGTCCAGCAGCCCACCCACAAAACATAATCAACAGCACAGCCCACCCACAATAAATGGTTACTACACCTGGGTAAAGGAGAAGCTTGTCCATGTCCAGGTGCCTCACCACGGCTGTGCTGGGTACGGGTACGCTGACTGGGTGGGTTGCTGCGTGGGCAGAGACCAGCGGCACTCTGCCCTGTTGCCAGCGCTACTGGGAGGGTAGCCTGGTTGAAGCCTGGTTGTTGGAGGTGGAGACCGACTGTCTCCCCTTTAACTACACCACTTTGCTGCTGGAGACCGACTGTCTCCCCTTTAGACACACAGCTCTGCTGCTGGAGACCGACTGTCTCCCCTTTAGATACACCGCTCTGCTGCTGGAGACCGACTGTCTCCCCTTTTGTTGCACAGCTCTGCTGCCGGAGGGGGAGACCGACTGTCTCCCCTTTGGATACTCTAAGATGTTGCTGGGGAGAGGGGGTAACAGGCTCCTCTCCCGATAGAACACTCTGCCGCTGGGGAAAGGAGACTGAGCTCTCTATTCCCTGCCCATTAATGATCCGCCGCTGGGGAGAGGTGGTAGCAAGCTCCTCTCCCATACATACTTTCATCCTCTGTGGAGGGAGACCGACTGTCTCCGCTCCCAATACAGTGTCCTGCTGCTGGGGAAAGGAGACTGGGCTCTGGGCTCCCAATTCCCTGCTGTATCTCCCACTGGGGAATGGAGACTAGGCTCCCAATTCCCTAATTCCCAAAAAATCACGCTGCTGGGGGGCAGGAACAACTACCTCTGCCCCCTGTAACTCAGCCGGCTGCTGGGGAGGGAGGACGCTGCTCTCCTCTCTCTGCACTTCACACTGCCTTCCCGGCATATCACTCTGCTGCTGGAGGGCAGGAACAACTACCTCTGCCCCCTGTAACTCAGCCTGCCGCTGGGGAGGGAGGACGCTGCTTTCCTCTCCCTGCACTTTACACTGCCTTCCCGGCATATCACTCTGCTGCTGGGGGGCAGGAACAACTACCTCTGCCCCCTGTAACTCAGCCTGCCGCTGGGGAATGGAGCTTGGGCTCCCAATTCCCTGCAATATCTCCCGCTGGGGAATGGAGCTCGGGCTCCCAATTCCCTGCAATACCGGTGGAGAGACCTCGGTCCCCTCTCCACCTGCCGCCTGGGGTTCCTCCCAGTAAATTTCAACAATATCTTCCCAGCTGAATGGGTCTGAGACTGGATCTGTCACTCTGCTGTCCTGCAGAGCATTCCCAATGGAGTGGAAGAGATCTCGGTAGTCCTGCTCCAGTTCCCACTCCAGGGTTGCTAGGTGAGCCAGGTCTTGCTCTACCTCATGGGGGTCATCCCAGTCATGCCTAGCCTCCCTCTCGTAGAAAATGTCCTGAAGTCTGTTCTGCGCAGGGCTCCCGAAGTCAGGCTCTGCAAAGGACTCCCATAACAAGCCAGGACCATCAAACTCCTCTCCCTCTGGCTTGTCATGCTCAGCTGTCCAGGGTATATACTGTGCCATATACCACCAGAGCGCCTGGTAGGCATCCTCCAGCCATAGCTCCTGCCATACCCGATGCTCTAGTTCCTTCACCCATTCCTCCAGGGGCTGCTCTCCCAGGAAGGGCATCCGCAGGGCCACTTGCTTCTGCAACCGCTGCTCTTCACTGGGGAGACTCTCACCCCGCTGGTATTGTACATTATCCAGGGCCTGGTACCAGATGCCTTTCCTTAATGCATCCCGGCCATCCAGGTCCTCCTCCTTGTATAACACTGCTGGTTCCATTCTGTTGCTTTTAGGGTCGCTGTACTGAGACATGCGTTGCCCCCACTTGTAAATCCAAAGAAATGGTGTCTCCTGTAGCTGTCCTTCTGGCTGTAGGAACGATCCCGCCGCTTGCCACCAATTGTAACGGACCGCTTTGCACACAAGGGGTAAAAACCGTTTAGGCGATCGGCCCCCTTTCCAGAGATGCAGGCACAGCTACTGCAGAACACCAAACTCCTGAACTGGATACAAAATAGCACTCCAACTCCCGAACTGGAACCTCCCAAATAGCTGCTAGCAGACGAACAGGAAAAGCAGACGAACAGCTTACACTCCTGGCAATCAGTCTCTAACAGCATACAGTGAATCCCCCCAAGAACGAGACAAGGCTCCGTGTTGAGGGTCAAGCAGTGGTCTGAGGTGCTGGCACACCCAGCCTGGTTTTTATTACAGTGTTTCAAATACAGGACCACCCACAGGGAGGTATAAAACAACCAATCATATCACAGTTACATCCCACATATTCCCTCCCCTTATCCTGAGAGGAAACTCAATTACACATACAGTTAAAACATACTTTCTACCCAACTTTCATAACTCCAAAACCATACATCACATTCACATAAAATTACATATTCACAATCAATCC